CTTCATAATTTATTATTATATTTTTATTATTTTTATAATTTCATTTTAACATTATCAATATTTAAAATTAATTAAATATTGAAGTTATTTTGTGTGATAATAAATAAAATAATGAAAGAATAAAATTATAATTATGAAGAAATAAAATAATAAATAAATAATAGATAAATAAATGATTAAATGTAAAATATATATTTTATAATAACAATAATATCATTATAATGAATTATTTAAAATATTTAATAATATTCATTATCATTTTATATTTTTAATAGAAAATAAGATATAAAATAATGATAATAAATAAATTTAAAATAAAATAAATAAATTAAATGATAATTATTATTTATATTGATTGTATTTAATCAATTAATATAAATATGATAATTTTAATATACTTTTATTCTTTCTCTTCTTAATTTCTATGTTTTTATTTCATTATATCTAATTTATTTCATTAAATTATTTTGTATTAATTTATTCATTTTAATTCATTCATATTCTTTTTATCATTATTTAATTATTTTCTTCATAACAAATAAATAATGAAAGAACATTAAAAATGAGAGTTGATGATAAAACAAATAAGAATTTAAGTAAAATAAAATAATCAACATATTAATCATAAATAAAAATGATGAAATAACATATTATTATATTCATTTAAAATTATCAACAAATAAACAAAATGAAATTAATTTGATCGAAGTACTTATCAGATACAATTAATAAAATAATCAATATATTTAATTGAAATAAAAAGAAATTAGAATTTGTTAAAAATAATATTATTGTTTTAATTTAAAAATGAATATTTAATTATAAAACATTTCATACAATTTTAATAATAACAACAAATAAATAAAAAGGGGGTAAATATAATTATGTAATTTTATTTTATAAATATTTCTAATTTATCATTCGATAAAATAATAAATTAAATCAATGTGATAACAGGTAAGAATTAATTTATATTTAAAAATATTTGAAATAATGAATGATGTTTGATTTAAATTAAGAATAAAAAACATGAAAAATATACCAAATGTAATGTTAATAAAAATGAAAATGAATGCGATAGGAAAATAAAAGAAAGAGGAATTAAGTGAGGGTAATAATTTAATGATACTAAATCAAGAAATAGGGTAAATGAATGATAGGATAAATGAGTATTTAAATACAAACTAAGAAAGATAAATTCATTAAAATGATCAATTTATTACTTCTGTTTATTACATTTTCATTATCAAAACAATGTAGTGAATATACTACAAATGAAATAGATACAGTTGACAGTGCATTTGAATGTATTGAATCAATTGAAACAACAGAAAAAGAAAATAATGATATTATCACAGGATTAAAATATTATTTAGAAGCATACGTATTTAAAGATATATTAAAGAATCCACCACAACCATCATTTTCAAATAATTATTATGAAAAAGTGGATATTGATTCAGAATTAAATAAAATAAATACAAAAACAACAAGTATGTATGATTTCTATTCTCAAATTAAAAATCTCATCATTTCAACAAGAGATGGACATTTAGGTTTTAATGTAGATGACAAACTTAATAAACCAAATTCAGAATTAACTAATTTCTTTTATTTCCTTCCATTTGAAATCAATATTGATAATGATAAGAAAATGTATTTAATTCCTAGAAAAAGTCTTGGTGGTATTCCTATTGATGTTCCAGAAATAGATGATAATCAGAACATAGCAGTTAAAACAATAAATGGAGAAGATCCATTTAATATTATTCGTGAATTTGGAAAGAAATATATGGGATTCAAATGTCCACATGCACAATTTACACAAGCAAGATCAGCAATTTCATTTGGGTCATTGAGTGATATACCATTAACAAAAGAGTATTTAAACACACCAATAAGTATTACATGGGAAAATGGAGAAAGTGTCACAATTAACTATTCTATATTCAAGCTATCAACATCTAATAAATCACTTAAAGAATTACTTCAAGGAGAAGAAGTTAAACAAGGAATTCAACCAAAATTAACACCAGAAGAAATAAAATCAAGAAAAGAAATTGGGAAAAGAATGAAAACAAAACAAGGAATAAGTGAAGGATATATATCAGATGATAATAAAGTATATTGTTTATTAACAGATAATAAAATTAATACATTTGTCATTGAATCATTTAGTCCTGATGATGCATATGCTAAATCATATGAAGATACTGTTCAAAATGTAT